CCTCCTTATCCTTGGACTCTTTGCTTAGATTCTGTTCTACTCTCTCGGCACAAGCAACAGATATCTTCTCCTNCATCCATTCCTCTCTATTCCACGCCTCAAACATATCCCTGTACGTCCCATCAATTTTTCCCAGTTCAGTCACGTACACTTGCCTCTCCTTGTCCAACGGACATTCCGCGACTACATGAACACGGTCTTCGCATTCGAAGCCGCAATCACATTTGAACTCGTCGTCTTCCTCGTCTACCGTCCTATGTCTTCGTCGACGTTCTCGAAGGCCTATGTCCCCGGTCCTGAATTTGACCTTAAGCTTTGTTCCTGCATCCATTGGTCCATGTAGGTAGTCCTTGAACCCTATTCCTTCCTTCAACATTCCGTACACTTCTAGACCCTCCTTATCCTTGGATTCTTTCCTCAGATTCTGTTCTTCTCTCTCGGCACAAGCAACAGATATCTTCTCCTTGAACCCCTGTAGACCCTCCGTTTCCAGCGTTTCATCTTCGTCGATGTCGAGCCCCTTCCATACGTCCTCTACAACCTTGACCCATTCCGTGGGTTGTCTACCCCTCTTTTTGTTTGCCCACTTCGCCTCCCATACAATTCTCGGCAACCTCTCCTCTCCCATCCCGCACATGCGATACTGCCAGGTCAGCTTCCTCGCGTCTCTTCCCGATCGTAGGGATGGGATCCCCGATTCTGCCCTGATGGCTGCATTACTTGTGCGCTTGGAGCATCTTGGGATGGTTTTTGCTGCTTTCATCTGCGCCGCCTCGAGTTCTTTCACTACCTTCTTATTTCCTTCCCATACTTCTCCGGCGTACTCTAGCGGCGGTACGATTACGCTCTTCAAAACCGTCAATTTGATGCGTGTATCGAGGTGCCGGTTTGCGAGTATTGGGTGCAGCTTCCCTGCTCGTGCTTTGCCCTTTTCCGCTACCTTGGACATGTGTGCATTCCACGAGCAGTCTTTTGCGATCTCTACTCCGAGGTATGTGTACTGGTCCACTACTGCAATCTCCTCGATCCCCCACTTCCATCTATGTTCTACTGGTTCCTCCTTGTTCTCGTTGCATACCATGACGGCACTCTTCTTAACGTTATCAGACAATCTCCACTTACCAGTAAACTTCTTCGCCGCGTCAATTTGCAGTTGCAGTCCCTCAGGGGTGTCCGACATACCGACAAAATCATCCGCAAACAGCATTCCTGAAACCGACGTTTCCGTGTCCCCTACTTTTACTCCCTTCCGGACTGCCTCTACGACTTCCAACAGATCGTTGATGAACACCTGGAACAATGTTGGGGACAGCGTGCAACCTTGTGGGACCCCCTGCTCAATGTCGCAAACACCGAGGGAGGGGGTGTACTTCATGACCGCGCTTTTCGT